TATTGCTCGATTTTTTATGACTTTTTTATTTATTATTATTATATATGTATATAGCAACCATAGCCGACTAAATTTATATATAATATATTAACATATACAGGGTGTTATGTAATTAATGTTATATATTAAAATTTGTTGTTCCTTAGGGTCCATAAAGAAGCAACTTTTTTTTCTGAATTCTGAAGACTAAAAATAATTTATAATAACCTTTATCCTACCAAAAAGTACGCCACTGATCGACTAGGAACTTTAGACTTATCTGGTTGCCTAATTTAATTTATTATGTTATGGTTGGTAACAACCAAATTCTGTCAAAAAAGTTAACAAACATTGTTTAAATTTAGCTTAATTATAAAAATGACAAAATTAACAATGCAAATTGTTAATTTGGCGTTTTAATTAATTGTTTTCTTACTACCTCGACTCAAAATACGTTGTTTCGTCCCCGATTCCACGGCAGAAAGTTTACGTTTTATGCATTGGTCAAGCTATACGCGCACACTCTAATAGCGGGAGTAAAAATTTTTTAGTCGTGTGCTTAACATTCAAATTTCGTACTGCCAACATGAGAAACACAAAAATATGACAGTTTTAAACCATAATTTTGCAATTATAACAACAAATAAACAATTTATGTTTTTACTTTTTTACTTTTTATGTTGTTTTAAGTGTTTAATGGTACTTTTATTTGTTATAAAGTAGTAATTTGTTAATTAAAATACAACCTTTTATTTTTACTGTATTGGCACCGCTGAATTCACGGCCTACTGTTATTTATTTATCAAGCTCTTTAAATGGAGATAGGTACATAAATACACATTTAATTTTTTCCCGTATTTTCGGCCGGGTTGTATTTTCGGCCGAGATAGTAAGAAAAATAGTATACACTACACGGGCAGAAAGTGTAAGAGTCCTAAACTGCGCGCCATGATGCCCTCGGCTTCGCCTCGGGCATCATGGCCCGCAGTGCAGGAATCTCACACTTTCTGCCCTTGTAGTGTAATATACTATTGTTATCTCATTTTTGTACTGAAGGTAACTTCAAACAAAATCTACCAACTTTTATGACAGAATCTAGTGCATTTCTTTCAAATTTTAGGTTATGTGCTCAAATTGTAAATATTTTAACTAAGGGAAGTGCTTTTGGATTTATTTACACAAATTAAATGTTTAAAGTTTAACCTGCGAACTGGTCCCAATTTCATCTGAGTAAACAGAAAGAAAAAAACCGATGAAAAAATTAATTTTTTGGTTATGGATTTTTTAAAATAGGTATTAAACTTTCTAATCATTGCTTAAGCTATTAGCTGGATGAGTAAATAAAAACAGAAGGGTATTAGAGCTTTAAAGGCATAAAACTTTTGTATTTATTGAGTTTTTATTTATTTTTTGCAAGAACAATTTTTAGTAACAATTTTTTACATCTGGCAACGCGCAGCTACTTTGTTGGTTGGTATCTATCTTATCTTCTTCTAAGGTATCTATGTACTCACAGAACACAAGTGTGCAGAGATAAACCAAGTGTGTAACCAGTGGCGTATCACAAAAAATATCTAATGTATATTTTTCTTTATCTTTGGAAAAATATTTTTTTAAATATTTTTCCTTTACTCCTTATGCCAAAAGGTATTCAGTATTTTAATATATAACATTAATTACATAACACCCTGTACACCCTGTAGACTTGCGAACAAATCAAAAAATCTACATACTCATACTAACCCGTGGCGCAAACACATACATATAGCATATGTCTCTCTTGTGCGTGCACTTACCGACATACCTGCTTTTTTATATTTTACAAAGATTTATACGGTTATTTTCCTGGAACAAACACCGTTCGCCAAGCGTGCTAGAATACCTAAACGCCCGTTTCGCGACACCTCAAAATTGTCGCGTTCCCGAGAACGAGCGATTGTTCCTAGGCATAAATTGTTTATATAAAAGTTCTTGCAAATTAAGTTAGGAACAACTTTTCTACTTAAATATTTTAATTATTTTTTTAAGAAACATAAAAAAGTAGCATAACTGCTTTTCCACCCCAGCCTCGGACGGTTATAATTTTAAATTTAGTTTTTTCAAAAAAGTTTATAAAAAATAAATTGTAGGTGATGTTATTCTGTACATTTTTTCATTTGTGAGTTTTTACGTGAATTAAAAGAATAGCGAAGTTATATGACAACACAAAATAATCACTTAAAACAAAGATGGCGGAGGAAGCAACCATCCAATTAGTTACAATTTTGCACTTTCAGGATACCATGGAAGGGTTTTACGAAACTGCGTCAAAATGTACCTGTTATTATTTGTTTCCAATTGAAAAACTGGGCTAAAATCTAAACTCTAGTTTAAAGGTTAAAACCAAAGATAATACACCCCATTATCTTTAGTTAAAACGTCTATCGGATAATGTCAGATTTTATGGTAGTATACGAGGGGCGACTATAATAATTTTTGATTTATTAATTATAATTATATACAGTGTGTCCACGGATTGACTTAACTATACTTGTAAAAATATTTATTTTCAATTTTTGGAAGAAAAGTCACTCTACATAATTTCTTCTGCTTGTTATATAAATAACATTCACCATGAGAAACATATTTTGTTATACAAGGTGCGCACAAAAAATACAATTGTAGATTTTGCAAAATTAAAAATTGTTAAATATTTTTTTTGAAGGCCTAATATGAAAAGCTTGTACGAAGAAACCAAAAAGCCAAATAAAGATATTTGTAATTAAAAATAAAATCAATTCAGCTCCTAACTTGAGTGGTCCTATTATTTTGTAAAAATTTACTGCTTTCTCATTTTGTGATTATGACTTAAGGTTGTTGCTTTTAACTGACATATCTACAATTTCTACAATAATTATTATTTGTTACAATTTGAAAACTAATATCTTAAATTTTCAATATCAAATATCTTAGTATCAAAAACTCATCTAAAAAAACTTCATTTGACTTTTGGTTTCTCTTTACCATCTCTTTATACCTATTAGCGCTTCAAAAAAAAAATATTTAAAAATTTTAATTTTGAAAATCAGTATTTTTGCTCACCCTGTACAACAAAATTTATGTTTCTCAACGCGAATTGAATTTATATAACAACAAAAGAAATTATGAAAAATGACTTTTTCTCGAAAAATTTAAAATAATATTTTTACTAGTATAGTTAAGTCCTTTCGTGGACACAGTGTATATAATTATAATTAATTATAATTAATTATAATTAATTATAATTAATTATAATTATAATTATTGCTTTTCCATTAAAAATACGGAAAAATAGCGTGTTTAATGCGCAAGAAAAGTCAACACCCCTCAAAAGTACCCTAAACTAAATTTTATTAAAAAATTTTAAGAAAAAAATTGCAGAATAATAACTATAAAAATTTATTTTGTCCAGTTATCCATGAAAAAACATTGAAATAAAATTAAACTTCTAGTATAGTATAGTATAATAGTACCATGTTAATATTAGTTTAATTTTATTTCAATGTTTTTTTCATGGCTAACTTGACAAAATAAATTTTTGTAGTTATTTTTGTGCATTTTTTTTTCTTAAAATTTTTCAATAAAATTTAGTATAGGATAGTTTTGAGCGGTGGTGAATCCAGTGCCGTGCTTATATTTTGTTTAAAAAAATCGATAATATGAATTCTTAAAAAATTACTCTTAAAAACTGACATAGTAGGCCTTGTATTTTGTATTAATATGGCGTCTTTTGCTCCAAAAATACAGTTTATCAAGATATACACTTTAAAACAAATCCGGTTAAAATCGCACAATAAATAAAGATTTTACAGGGGTGAGTCGCAAACAAATGGGTCACACTGTATATATTTGAAAAAATGTACTAATAATATTAGTTAATTTTCTATAAAATATAATAAAAACACCTTGTTGGAAGTCTTTAATTAATTTTAATTAATTAAAACATTTAAATTGTAGTATAAAAACCTGTCAATCCGCTCCGCTTTATTGTTTTGCATTATGTAAAACTGAAATAGGTTAGAACACAAATGAGGTTTTAAGGTGCATTTTAAAAATCCATTCAAATTTAACTATAATATATTATATTATACCTACCTACTTAATCAAATAAAATAGAAATAGAAATAGCTCTAATGCTTCCTTATAAACGATGTTGGGAGTAATTTTTTCACTTGCTAAGACAACGGCGTTTGTGTCAAAAATTAAAAAATAAAAAAGATTTTTTTGTCAAAAATTCAAATATAATTTTTTAATTCAAAAATCAAAAAATATAGAATAAATTAAATGATTAAAACAAAAGTAATAGTATATTATGTATCAAGTTAAGTAAACGCCATTTTATTCACGAATTTTAATTAGGTAGGAGCGAGCATGCGAGCGAGCGTTTAATTAAATAAGAGTCTAAAAAAGTTTATAAACGAGTTTCATACTATACTTTTTCTACGATATACATATACTTATCATTATCCAAAAGTTAAATATTTGTACAGAGTGACATCACAAAACATTTTAAGTTAATTATATTACTTTTTGCTTTTTAGTGCTTAACGCAATGAGTTTATTTGTTTTTTAAAACTATTATTCATTTTTTCTCACATATTATCGAAAATTAATTTTACAAAGTATATTAAATCTTAAACTACAGCTTATATTTTACTTTTAATAAACGTGAGCCTCAAAATAAATGTAGAGAAAAATATTTGGTGGATTTAATATGGAATGACCCAATAGTTAAAAATAACATTTTAACATTAAATACAATTATTGCTTTCCTAACAATATGTTTATAAATTTGGCACAAGTTATCGTATTTTTCAATAAATTTATTGATGGATTTTAATAAATTACCTAAATTTTAATAATATTATATGACATCAAAAAATAATTTAACGCACATTTTTCTCATAAAACGATATGAAATATTAAGTATATATAAAAAAACCAAATATGCTAATAATATTTAAAAATAAATAATTTATTGAACTTAGTATATTTTTACTTACATCATAAGTAATTTAACACCATTTTCTGTTGGTTCTTTTCTGACTTCCGCCCAACTGGAAGTAACCAAAAATTTGTCCCTGGATGTCAGTCCTGTGGTGGAATCAGGATCATCAGTCCTTCCAGTGTTTCCATCAAATAAACTAACAACAGCCCCCATTATGGGGATAGCTGAAAATAATTTTAAGAATATGTGTATGTTTTACATAACAAAAAATTAAATATATTTGGTACCATTCAAAAAAAAATCTTTCAACATGTTTATGTGGACTGTTTTTGATTTATGTTTGCGACTAAGTTAATAAAGTAAAGTATCCTAGATTTAAATTTAAATTTCCTTTTTGATAGTTTAATTTTATTAGGCATTGTGTTCCATTTATGAACCTTGAAATTAAATTAACCAGGGATATAAAAAAATTATATTAAAAATAATATTTACTTTTTAAAGTGATTTATTAAAATTTATAAAAAAATCTTACACTATAGGTGTTCTGTCTTTTAAGTCACTTACTTAGTTGCTTTGTTTGTGAACAACAAATGTTAACGTTAATATTGATACACTGATTATTGAATATATTCAATACCAAGATCCCCAAACTTCCCACATTTACGTATTTGTTATTTTTTTTATATATTTATGATCTTCGGTTATCCTCTCAGTACGCGAATATATCGTCAATTTGAGGCACAGAACGGCGTTCGGCGAACGCAATGTCTCTTCAACAGGTGAGCTGGTATCTGTGTCCGTTTGTTTGATTTCTAACTTTTTTGTCGCCGCGCACCGTTGTGTTTTTTAAGTTTTAAGTGAATTACGTGTTTGTTTTTTAAATAAACTTTATATTTTATTACCAATAATGGCACCAGCGGAAGTAAGTTGTGTGCAAAATCTTTTAAAAAGCCCTACTTGAAAATAAACTTTTAATTAAGAAAAAAGGAAGACATATTCCCGATCTACGAATACACTACACTTCCGCAGGTAAAGGCCGAACTTACAATAGAGCATTCAACAGAAATATCTATGAAAAATACGAGTGGGTATGCGGATGTTCAGTAACCAATAAGCTTTTTTTGTTTCTATTTATAAACAAACATTTAAAATGGTATCATGATTTTAGGATAAAGTTTTGAAATTGGCGAATGCGCCGGGATCAATTCCACGGAATTTGTGATTTTTGTTTAATTTAAACTTATTAATTACAACACTATTGTAAACCGGAAATGCACACGAGAAAATGTTATGTTTTATTACAAGCGGTGTTCCGAGCTAATTATTTTCTGATATAGATTTATACATACATGATATAGATTTATATATGCAGGGTTATTGAATCCAGATAATAAAGCTGTTGTTGTATTTTTAACAGTCTAAACCTTAAACTCTAAAAAATAAAAATCAAACTCCAGTGAAAATAAAAAAAAATCAAAATTATTTTACACCAAATCACTACTCATACTACTACTATTAGATTAGGAACACTCCCAGAAATGTGTAAAACACAAATATTTTTAGCATTAAGCATTTAATTTATTTTTGTTCAAATAATGTAACCAGCATTAGTTTCTCCATCTGGGAGTTGATAAAACATTGACTTTAAAGAACATTTTATTTTAAGGCATAAGTTTTTACTTTTTTAATTTAAATTTTAATGAATCTAAAGAGTGTTTTAATTTAATTTTTTTATACGGATTTATCGGGGGTAATTACACAAGTGCTTAAAAATTATCGATAATTTTGCTTGAAAGCATATTGCCTAAAAAATGCATGAGTTCATTTTCATATTTTGGAAAGTGCCCGACACCGAAGGTGGATGGCCCTTTCCTCAAAATATGAAAATGACTGAATGCATTTTTTAAAAGGCAATATGCTTGAATGCAAAATTATCTGATTATTTTTATGCACGAGTGTAATTTGTTTAGATAATTACACGAATAAACTAATTAAATCAAAGAATAACATTTTCATTTTAATTTTAATTTCAACACAAAACTTCATTTAACATTATTCAATAATTGATTCAAATGATTCTTTGCCAAAACGTAAAATTTAAAATAACTGTCACATTAAACTATAATGTAACCAGCATTAGTTTCTCCATGGGGGAGTTGATAAAACATTGACTTTAAAGAACATTTTATTTTAAGGCATAAGTTTTTACTTTTTTAATTTAAATTTTAATGAATCTAAAGAGTGTTTTAATTTAATTTTTTTATACGGATTTATCGGGGGTAATTACACAAGTGCTTAAAAATTATCGATAATTTTGCTTGAAAGCATATTGCCTAAAAAATGCATGAGTTCATTTTCATATTTTGGAAAGTGCCCGACACCGAAGGTGGAGGGCCCTTTCCTCAAAATATGAAAATGACCGAATGCATTTTTTAAAAGGCAATATGCTTGAATGCAAAATTATCTGATTATTTTTATGCACGAGTGTAATTTGTTTAGATAATTACACGAATAAACTAATTAAATCAAAGAATAACGCTTTCATTTTAATTTCAACACAAAACTTCATTTAACATTATTCAATAATTGATTCAAATGATTCTTTACCAAAACGTAACATTTAAAATAACTGTCACATTAAACTATAAAATCGTTTATAAACTTTTCTATACACTCATTAAATTAAATTCGTGTATAAAATGGCGTTTATCAAACTTGATACATAATATACTATTATCTACTCCTACTTTGACGAGCTGTATCATTACGGCGTTTTAGTCACGAGCTGTAGTTAACAACAGTGGCTTTTGGGCATTTTAGTCACGGGCTAAAGTTAGCTTTTTATAAATTTCGAAAAAGTGAGGTTAAATTCGTCAAATATTCATTAAAAATTGGCTTTAAATTCTTATTTCCGTTCGTCGTAGATAAAGTAAAGTATGCAACTTGTTTATAAACATTTTTAGACACTCATTTTTATTCTCGCAAGCCTCGCTCATGCTTAATTAAAATCCCTTAAATACAAGGCAAACTAGTAAACACCAAAATGTAAAACGACGACGAAAAGTAAAAAAAAATAGAAACAAAGTGAAAAATCTTTTATTTTTTTAATAAATTAAAATTGAAATTTAGGGAAATATGTGTAATTAAGTTAATATCAATTATTATTATTAAAACACAAAAAAAATTTAAAAACCTAAAAATAATTTAAATTAAAGTTAAGAAGTGAAAAGTATTTAATTTAAACGTTTTTTATTGAAAACAAAAAAATATTAGTTAAGTCTGTGTGAAATATGTATATTATACATGTATTGCTATTTTTTTAAATATATAAAGAAAAAGAATTGATTGATATTTTACAAAATATTTTTATACGTATTTGAACGTTTAACTCAATTAAATAAAACTATACGGCCATTCCACGCGTAACGGATGGGACAGTTGTAAGATTTTATTTACAAAATAACATTGTTCTATTATATTACTAATATAATGTCAAATTTTTATAAATAGTTCTAAACAAAAGCTGTTTGACAATGTTTTTATTTGGCAAAATTAGGTATCGCGGTTGACTGTTTAATTCTTTAAAAATTAATTTTTTTATTCAAAAACCTACTAGTACTGTTTTTGAATAAAAAAAAGTAATTTTAAGGAATTAAACAGACAACCACGATACCTAATTTTGCCAAATAAAAACCTTGTTAAACAGCTTTTGTTTAGAACTACACTCACGTGCAAAATAATCGGCCCACACAAATTTTCGATGAATTTCAATCGCAAATAACTTTTTTATTTGATGTCGGATTTAAACGAATATTAAAGAATATTGTAGATAAATTAATGGACAATCGCTCACATTTTAAAAAAATACTAAAAAATAGACGTACGTTTATAATATACAGGTTTAAACAAAAAGATTTTTTTTTACCATAAGTTTAAGACCCTCTGTAGAGTGGCAAAACCGTATATTGTTTTAAATTAAGTTTTATTTATCAAGTCACATCTATTCTTAACAGTTTTGTTTTTGGTTCACCTCGATATATTTATTTTTGTAGAAAATATGGATTTTTTTAAAAGACATTGCAATTTCCAATATTTTTCCTGTATGAAGAACTAAGGTTGCTATGGTCCATCCATAGCCTATGGAGAATGACAGTGATAGTTTTGTTGAATCATCCCATACTTGTACATGTCATATACAGCTTTCAAAAGCTATCAAATTGTTTTTTGTAAATGAATGTGTTAATTTTGAGGTGTCTTCTTACTTTTAAAAATGACTCCGACTGATATTGCCCTTTGTACTTTACTTCTTATGACGTTTAAAACACTTGCCACGTAATACTATGACCGTCCATCCTGGATTAAATTAATAGCTCTGGCAACATCAGTCGGAGACATATCCATTTTATAAAATAAGAAGACACCTCAAAATTTAAACATTAATTTGCAAAAAACAATTTGATAGCTTTTAAAAGCCGTGTATGACATGTCCAAGTATGGGATGATTCAACAAAACTGTCACTGTCACTCTCCATAGCCTAGTTCTTCATACAGAAAAATATTGGAAGTTGCAATGTTTTTTAAAAAAATCCATATTTTCCTCAAAAATTAATATATCGAGGTGAACCAAAAACAAAACTGTTAAGAATAGATGTGACTTGATAAATAAAACTTAATTTAGAACAATATACGGTTTTGCCACTCTACAGAGTGTCTTAAACTTATGGTAAAAAAAACATATTTTTGTTTAAACCTGTATATTATTAACGTACGTCTATTTTTTAGTATTTTTTTAAAATGTGAGCGATTGTCCATTAATTTATCTACAATATTCTTTAATATTTGTTTAAATCCGACATCAAATAAAAAAGTTATTTGCGATTGAAATTCATAGAAAATTTGTGTGGGCCGATTATTTTGCACGTGAGTGTATTAATAAAAATTTGACATTAGTAATATAAAACAATAGTATTTTGTAAATAAAAACTTGGAACTGTCCCATCCGTTTATAATCCCACAAACAACCTACCTAAGAAGTATCTTTTGCTTTTTGTTTTTCCCTTATACCGTGAAAAAAACCACCTGGCAATTAATTACTTTATCCTGGCAGGCACTGAAAACTTTCTACTTTGCTATCGTCTGAACAAACGAAGAAAAGTTGGCACTAAATTTTTAAATCCTGAACCGCGTTTTAACACAACTGTGCAGTCCCACAGATCGCGACGTATTGTAGTAGGCTGGTGAAGCGACGACACACTCGCAGATATAAACTTTGTGGCGTGCTTCTCGTCTCTGTATAAAACAGAGCAAAACAAAACAGCGATACTACGCCAACTTACTATTTTAATACC